GCTTTTGTATAAATAAATAATTAGGTGTTCTTTGTCCGCCAATACAATATAAACCAGAGCTTGACCAGATGAATGCTGCACAGTCTGGTGCGATGGCCAAGAATCTTGACCATGAAGTCGAGTATTTATTGCAACAAATTGAAAAGGAGCCTGATGAGATAAGAAATTCTTGGAAGGTCTGTATTTTGAGATTTATTCCTACATTGAATGACCATTTACTATATGTAGACTGAACAACATACATTTTTTCAGTTCTTAAATATATTCATTGGTCCGAATGACCTTTGTTTAAAATGTATGAACAACAATCCAAAAGAAGATAAGGCATTTGAAAGTTATGTTTATGATGCATTAGAAAAGATTCGCACAAACATACCAAATGTTATCGTAAATATTGTTGGGAATTTTAACGTTTCTCAAATTTATAAAATCACTCGCGGTCAAACTGGATATTGTAAAAAACTCGGTATATTTCCAAATTTTGAATGTAAATGCGCCTTTTTTGATGGTATGTTTATAATTACTAAATATTTAATTATATCGATATTTATTTAGCTAACTGCATTTATTGACTTATTTTGTAAAGGTCCAGAAGGTGACAAAAAACGCCAAAGAATGGATGACCTCGCACATGAATATAATATTGCAATTAATAGGATCGTACAATATTATGTTGATCATCCAAGTGATAATTTTGCTGTTGTGTTTCAACCTTTTGATGTGGACTTTATGAGCTTTCCGATTGATACCCTTAGTTGTGCTGATTGCTTTCACCCAAGGTAAATAATTTGTTCTTAATTTTTTAAAAAATTCAAATTATTAACCACATTTATATACAATGATAGCTTGAAGTTACATAGATTCTCGGCAAAATTTTTGTGGAATAATTTCATAATCCCTTCAAAGTATCGGTATGTTCCTGTTAAATGGGATGCTTCGAAAAAAATCAGGTGTTGGAATGATGATGATCGCATTGCGACTTTCTAATCGAACTAAGGTTTTAGATAACTTTTCGGTAAACTAATTGTCTGGATAATAAATGATATTTTTCACACCTTTTGAATACTTATGTATGTTTCTAAATTATCTCATATTACATTATTACGATGTTAAGATATAATTATAGTATCAATATTTACAATAAAGAATTTAACTTTAACCACCCTTATAAATTGTTACTCAAATTTTTAAAATTAAAATAGAAATAATATTAAAATAAAATTGGAATTAGAGGGCTATGATAAGGTTTTTTATAGTGCTGAACATTTTTACTTAGTACATCATACTAGAGATTGGAATTGATGAATGTCGAACATCGGTTGATTACAAAATTTTGGTCGATATTCGAGTTTTTAAAATATCCCATGTTACATAAAAAAAGAATATAAAACATAATATATATTAAATTTATCAATTGTACAGTTATTATTAAATTATTTAATATACAATTTACATGAATTACAATCTTTATATTTATCGTTATAAAAACTATATATTAAACGTCAGGAAGAATAAAATCAATTGCCTTCATATTATGTTATATTTTAAAAATATTATTTTGCAAAATAACTTTAGATTTAATAATGTTCTCTTTGCACTCATTATATTTTCTTCAATCCGAAAAACAAGTGTTCATTTGAATACTGTTGCAGAAAGTGCATGAAATTTTCGTGCTATTTCTCTTAAAATTGGTTGTGTAAAGACCGTCATATTGGGTTTTTTTTGCAATCTTTATAGGTTATTATGATCAAATTAAAATGCTACCAAACCCATAATTGTTTTTTAGACCAAATTTTTTTCTAAATTTTGTTTTTTTGAGCCATCGGTAAGCCTCTTTTATATTAGATTTTTGTTCACAAACCGAAATATTATATAGTTATTTTCGTTCTTTTCATTATTAAAAGAGAACTCTACGGAAACATTAACAGAGGAAGATGCAGTATCCTTATTAAATATTAACCCAAATTCCGTCTTTAATTATCATTTGAAAGATTTAATTAAATCAATAAAAACTTATTAAATCAATAAATTTATCACTATCACCAAAACGCGTTAAGTTTTAATTTGACCGATGCTCGATGATTGATCGGGTATAAATGAGTGAAAAAAGCTTATTCCGATGCTCGAAATTTTCGATCGATGATCGGATAATTATCCACCCTCTACATCATACATAATTATTTTGTCAGTTTTGAGTTATAGCAAGAGGGTGGTTATGTTAACCAAAAAGCAAGTTAGTAATATTTTACAATAAATATTACAACTAATGCTAATTTTGACTGATGCTAATTTTTGAAGGTTTTTTAATTTGGATCCATTATATTGTAATATATCTGCTTGGCTTAACCAAGTTTTAATATATCAATAATAAATATGTCATCATCAGTTAAGTCAAACAAATATATTACTTGATTTAATGTATTGAAGTAGTTAAGAAATGTGTTTACAAAAAAAAATTATAAGAAAAGCCCAAAACTAAAATAAAATACTATAAAATAACTAAACAATAAATCAAAAATAATTAGTTCTACTTGAGTATAAATCAAAAATATCAATAGAAAACAATAATTTTACTATAAAAATACACAATTGCTCTATAGTCTAGTGTTTTGAACTATTCAACTGAAAGTTCAATTAGGGCTGATCTGAGTAGACTTATGGATGTTTTTAGCCAATTGTTAATATTTGTTTACATTAGATAAAATAAAATATGTCAATTCTATTTTACTTGATATAAACAAACATCAGCAATTAGCTAGAAATATCTATATATCTACTCAGATTAGCCCCAATTGAACTTTTGGTTAAATAATTAAAAATACTACTATAGTTACTATCATAATTTTTTGTAAACTATTTATATAATGCATATATAAAATTACTTTCACTAAAGTCACATTAAAATCACAAGTTTACTTTATCCTGAGTATATATATATATGAATTATATATATAAAGTAATAAATCAAGTGATACATGAGAGAATTCCTCTGCACTATCAACTGTGCTATATTTCTTTTATAGAGTAATTGATCTTTAAAGTTTGGAATATATATTAAAATTAAATCTTATTTGAGTTTGAGTAATACTGCTAAATAAGTTCATAGTGCCAATAGCCAAATTATTTAACAAAACTGACCAAACATCCTTGTCAACAAATAAATTATATTAGTTTATAGTTATATTTGAAGATACTGATTTATTATACTATAAATATAAATAATTATTAGCTTATAAATATAAATAATTATTAGCTTATAAATATAAATTTGTTATATGGGGCTAATAAATCTGCAATCTTATATAAGTAAAATTTGATTTTTTTTTTTTTAGTATTTAAATCTTTCTTTTATATATTTATTTAATTTTTTAGTCATAGTTATAGCAATTCAAAATAGTTATCTAATATATAGTATTCAAGATAACTATTGATATTATAGTTATTAAAAGCTCAACTAAATTATACAATAAGAGTACAATCTTTTTTATTATTAGACTTTAAAATCATCATGATATTGTGATAATTATATTCAAATCAATTTTTTTTTTAAAAAAAAAAGCAAGTTAAAAAATATAGTATCAGAAGAAGTTAAAACCTATCCTTTATTTATATAACTAGATCTTTAGTTAAAAATGACAAATGTTTTTTATTATATAATTAAAAATAGGTGAAGATAAATTAAAAACAGGTGTATATTATTTAATTAAATATTTGAACTTTAATTATCATATGTTGTAAACAGGTGAAAAAATGTTTTAAACTATATTTTTATCATCTCTATTTCCAGTCTCAACCAAAACAAAAAACTAATATCAAGAAATTAAAAACAAAAATAATATAAGATTTAGAAAGTAGTATTAATACTTTCAAAGAAAAATAGAAAGAAAGATTGCTTTTTAGATTTTTTTTTGCAAATTTCTATTTTCTGAGTCTTTTTTACAACATGCTTAATTCATGCTTATCAAATCTAATTTCAATACATATTATTAATATAATCTTATAACTGAAAAGATCTAAAAATATTTTATTAAACAACAAATTATATACTGTACCAATGAGATATTCTAACAATGTACTTTCCAAATTAAATTAGAAGAAAAAACAAGTTTAGTACAAATAAAGTTGATTACATTTTTATAGCTCCTGGTTGGTTCATGCATTCTCCTTGATTAAATAATTGTAATAAATAAACTAATTACAACAAATTATTCAAGTTATTAAAAATATGCTTAATTAAAAAAGATATTGAATAAATTTTAGTAAATTGAATAAAGAACCAATATCATCAATAGATATTAGAATAGATTTCATTAGATTAATAATAATTTACTATTATCTGTTATCTTTATCGATTTTTGAAAAAGAATTGTGTAGTATAATGCAAATTAATAAATCTACATTTCCATTAAAAGTAGGTTCTCAAAAAAAAATAATAAAATATAAAAACATTGAAGAATTTTTTTTTCATGCTTATTTAGAAATTAATTCATTAAAATGTACTGTACATGATCCAGTCATGAAAAACTTGCAATGCATTTTATTATTTTTACTACAACTAATAAGCCTTCAAATATGTTTAACTAGATACTTGTACTTACACACAACTTCATTCCTCAAATTGATGTGTTAATTACATTAAAAAAAAATCAAAGAGAAATAATGAAATCAAAAAATTAAAAAAAATCAAATAAAATTTCAAATCTTATTTGTGAAGAGACCAGCTCAAAAAAAAATAGATGGGTTTAAAAAAAAAATCAAAAACAACAAAAAAAATAAAATAAAAAAATAAAAGAAAAAGAAATTGTCAAGTGTTGGAATGTACTAATGTAAATATTTAGAATTGAGGTAAAAAGGTAGCAATTACAAAGGTAAATAGTTTTAAAAAAAAATTATAAAGGAACTGATGAAAAAAAATTATGTATTAACATTATTTCTAATAACATATATGCACTTAAACAATTTGTGAATGAGGAGAGTTCCTGTTGTCAATTTTGAAATTAGTTCAACACTGCTGCAATGGACATAATGTTAAATTTTTGTTTATTATTGACCTTGGTAATCTCCCTAATTGTAACAAATATAAAGATATGAAGATGAAAATCACGATTTAAAATCATCGACCAAAAGATAACAGTATTTTCTAGTACCATATTATTACCTTGCATTCTGAATTGCTAAGTCTGCAAGTTGCTCTAAAGCTGCTGTACAATTATGATGATGATTATGACGATACATTGGAACAGGAGACGGTATTGGCGTATAGGTCGGTGTTGGGATAGAAATATATTTATTTGAGGGAGGATTATAGTTATGAGTAAGACAGTTCAAATCAAGACATGGAATGTCTACGGCTTCAGGACTAGAAATTGGAGTCTTCAAAGAATGCCATGAATTTACTTGATAACGTGTTGGATAACGATGGCCTTCAGGAATCCACCGTTCAGCAGGTGAAGTTTCCAACGATATTGGTTTAAATGATTTTTTCCGAGAATGAGAATAGCGTGACGATTCTGAATATTAAAAAAATAAATAAATAAATAAAATACATAATACATTGTATGTATCGATGTGTCAATAAAATAAACTTGAATAAATTCTTTACCATCATTACTTAGAGAAGCCGAAGTAGTAGTATCTTTAGTAATTCGACGTTTTTTTGGTCTAGGGGAAGCACAAGTACTACTTGTGGAATCATCTGAATCATCAATCGCGACATGGTCACGTTTTTTAGACAGTGAAGAATAATACCGATTTTTTATTAAATTAGCTGGTCTTCCTAATAATTGACTCATCACTGCCCATTTTGTGCCCATTTCGGAATAAAATGATAGTATTTTTTTGTCCTCTTCTGGAGTCAAGGGTCCATATGTTACTATGATCGATTCATATTCAAAGTAAAATTAAATGGAATGAATAAGGAAATGATGATTTAGAATAAGCAATTCACTTACAATCAGGGTTTAAGTGGTTATGCCATCTATTTGGAGAAAGGAAATTAGTGGTATGGAACGAAATACTATAGAATTAAAAAAAGGTATTTTCTTAAATGTTTACCGTTCGCGACATTGCTTTCCATCACGTAGACCATGTCTTATTCCGATGAGTTTCCAATGTTTAACTCCTAATTCTCTTACTATCTCTAGTAGTTTTTCGTCTTCCTAACATTGATCCATATTCAAAAGTAGGTAAATATGATTGATTTGTACGGTGTGTTTGTGTAATATCAAACCTGAGGTTCCCAAGGGCCCGTCCTGCGGGATGTGTTATCTCGTGGCTCTTTTCGAGTTCTTCGTGTATTCATGATATAATTTATTTGGATCGTTGAGTGGATAACGGTATGTAAGAAAATTTTGTTTGAACTAAGAGTTTAAGGAGGATG